CCCACAGTGAGCGCGGGTACCCATTGTTCTGAGTGATTGATACTATGCCCGAGGGGCTGATATAAGTGATTGTGAAGTAGCCCAAGGGGCTGATACTATTCTAAGAGTGAGCCCGAGGGGCTGTTATTAATCTGATATTGAGCTTGAGGGGCTGTTACTGTTCTGATATTGAGCCCGAGGGGCTGGCGCTGTTCTGATATTGAGCCTGAGGGGCTGGTTCTGTTGATATTATGCCCGAGGGGCCGTTTGTTGTACATGTTTTACCCGAGGGGCTGTTTACATTTCTATCATTTTTGTTACTCACTTGTAAACTACTTGCTTTACTTGTTGGAAAAAAAGGATTTTCACTTGATTTCTCACTGCTTTAATGTTTAAAGTGATTTTACTGCTTCAGTATGGAATACCTTGTGTTTTTGCGTGATTTCTTGCTTTCAGTCTTTATTTATTATTATTACTCACTGAGTCGGAGTACTCACATTACTCCCTGCACCTTGTGTGCAGATTTAGATATGTTTTGGCTGATCGGAGGCAGAGTCATCAGGGTTTAGCAAGGTAGCTGTCGGTGTTCGCAGCACTGCTTTTCTCTCTCCTCATTTCATTAGTCTGTATTTGTACACTCCAGGCTTTCAGTTGTATTTATACCCTAGTAGATGCTCGTGACTTGTGACACCCCGGTTAGGGCTGTGTCGGGTTGTGCTTCCGTTAATTATATCATTAAATCATATTTAAACTCTTTATTAATGTTTAACTATTTTTGAAAAGGTGATATGAGTTTGTTGGCTGGCCTTGTCTTCACGAGAGGTGCCATCACGACCGGAGCGGGGCTTGGATCGTGACATAAAATCATATAAATTTTGGTAATTGAACGCAAAAGTTAGAAATCACAATAAGGTATACAAGGGCTTCTGAGGTACACAATTTCTTTCTTTAATTAAATAGAATCAGTATTCATCCTTTTCAAGAACTACTTTTTATTTTATTTATGTTATTACTAAAAAATATATTATTCAACAAGAATTATATGATTTTTTAAAATTATATACTCATTGATAAAGTAAATGTGCAAAGCACTTTCAAATATTTATAAATTTTAACATAATTAATTCTTTTTTATTCAATCATTCCTTATTTGAACTAGGTATGAAGTTTCTATATTAAGTACTTTACAATCCATTAAAATGTTATCTTATTTAAATGATTAAACAAAAAATATAAAACGACTAACATCCCTAAATCAACAACTAAACCACAATTCTTATCATGTTTGTTCTACCCTATGCTTTCATTAATAAGAGAGACAGTAATCCGGTAAAATATTGTTAATTTATTAATATTTATATCTAAAGCAAATGACTAGAATTTAAAACTACGTTTTATTTCAAATCGGATCTTTAACTAAAAAATTATTTTTCGATAGTCCATAAAATATATGTTAGTTACTATGAGAAATATCATATAAAATTCTTTGTTTTTCTATTGTGAAATTTGTATTTTTACTTTTCAGTAGTTCATAGAATGTGTGTTAATCACTTGAGAAATATCATATAAAATTCTTTGGTTTCCTATTGCAGAATTTTTGTTAAAAGACTAATCAACATTATGAGGCTCGAATTAGAAATAAGTCCATGCCTTTTTATTTCCCATTATCTCTATTTGAGTGGAATAAAATGTGTCATTAGTTTTTTTATGAACCTTTTCTTATAACACATAAACAAACAAGAATAAAAAAAAAAAACAGTGCCCAAATCTTGAATGGTAAAAGAAATTAAAATCCAGTAAGATTTTAGACTCAGGCCAACATGCAAGATATTAAGACGCAACTTTGATCTGTCTGTCGGGATACTTTTTACTGAAATTAGCATTTTAAAAAAATCTATTAGATTTAAATTTCATATTTTATAAACTATAATATTTATGTGATTTTCTAAAATTTGTGTTCCTTTAGATGAAATGCATACGCAATGCGCGTACCGAGAGACTAGTTAAACAAAAAACAAGGGAAATAATAAGAAAAGATAGAATTTTTTTTCCTAATGAAATGTACGTCGCACGTGCTCAAATGATCAACATATAGTATGTGTTTGTGGCCTTTCAAGGGTGTAAAAACTCGCAAAGAATAAGTATATAACTGAAAATCCGAGACAAGTTGGGGGGAGG